GTTGTAGAAAAGGTGGAGTCAGACTGTGCTGAGAGGTGCACAGTTCGAGGATGAGCAGCTGTAGCAAGTTGCAACCAAGAAATTATACCTGGACGAATGAGGAAAAACCTTTCACCATTAGAGTGGCTAATTACAGGAATGAATTGCCCAACTCTATCCTTGGAAGGCTTCAAAATTTGATTAGACAAGGCCCTGAACAACCTGGTCTAACTTGGAAGTTAGCCCTGCTTTGAGCAGGAGGTTGGGCTAGAGACCTTCAGAGGTCCCTTGCAAACTCAATTTCTCTGTGGTTCTATCTGAATAATGTAAAAAACCCCAACCAAACCAGCAATTTTTGCTTTACTTTTAAAATACAATTGAATCAAAAGTGGGCCTGGCAACATGCACTGTAGTATCTTGCTGGAAGTATAAATAAAGTAATTGCCTGTGAGGTTCATTTTTACTGGAGTGATGGGGAAAGACTAATTGGGAGGTGAGTCGTTAGTAGGTAGGTAAGAGGAATTAGAAAAGGGATTGGTTTCAAATCTTCCTTCCATGGAGGGGAGGCCATATCTAGAAGTATGGTGATTTCCATGTTTTTTGTTAATTCACTGATCAAAATAGGGGAGGAGAAGGAAGTACGAATAGCATCATCTTAGCCTGCTGTACTGTCAGAGAAAACCTGAGTTGAAAAAGGTCCGTTTTAGTAGTACGGGTGTTGTTAATTACCTCAGTTTCTCTTTGAGGTGAGTTACGCTGTTGCCCATGCTTGTGTTTAAAGTGTTTGAAGTAAAAAATCGACAAAAGTAATATTCCAGATGTTGACTGGGTTCTTTTTTGTGGGTCTTACCTTTTTAATGTAAAAAGTTGAAGCTCTCCTTGGCTCTCAGTAAATCAACAAGAGTTTGAAAACTCTCACCTTATTCTTTTAGATCTGTTTAAAATATAGGGGGATCCTTAAGTTAACTGGTGTTCAGTGTCATAGTCAGTGTGAAAGAATTGAACTATACAGTTGTAACTACCGTGACTTGGGGGGTTATTAGTGCCAAACCCCTGTAATCTATTTGAATGTAAAATCTGGAGGTGCTGATAAAAGGAGCAGTAGGATGGCGGCTTCTGTCCAATTTCTGTCCTGGTTCTTAAAAGACAATTAAAATGGAATAATTCAAAGGATACTGAGGCACTGAGTGTCATAGCAGGGTTTATGTACAGGGAGGAAATTGAATTCCTGCTTCCATGTTTTGGTTCCCCATGTGGAGACAGGATGGAATTCCTCATTTTCAATCAGATGGTATTTTCATATAGGCAGAATTACAAGTGTTTAATTAGCTTTTCCCTGCAGTACAGATAGAACTGCAGAGGGGAAGTGAGAAAATATTAGAAATACAGGTGTGACAAAACTAGACTTGGCACATATTCCCACAAGACGCTTACCTGGCACCCTACAAAGTTGCTAAACTCTTTAGGGGTAGTGCCTAGATCAGCATGTCTCTGTTTTGCTGGGAGCTGTAGAGATAGTAAGAGTTTTCTAGGGAATAGTTTGAAATGATTTGATGCTTCTTGTCTGTTTTCCAGTAGTCAACCCAGAATGAACTTTTTAAAAAAGAATAATTAGGATCATGAGTTGCATTTTAGTTGTGACACCTCTGCTGCAGTTTCCTAGATTGCACACTGTCCTCCTTTGTGATGCTCTGTAGAAAGCACAAGGCAAGTACTCATCATAATCAATAAATGTACAAAATTATTTTAAGTATGGATACTGTGAATAGTTTTTTGAAATACATAAAATACAACACTGGCATGTCAGCTAAATAGTGCTATTTGTTTTCATCACTTAGATACCTAACACACTTTTCATCATGTAATTGTTTAAACATGGATGTTTTGTAAACATTTGTTTTTAGGAATTTGTTGGATCAATCTTGGTGCCTCTGTTTGATTTCCTACTCTGAATGGCATCATCCTACAAAGGAAGAATGGTAGTTAGTTGAGTAGGTGAGGTATAGAGTGACAGCTTGCAAAACTACACCTTTTTTTTTTTTTTTTTTTTTAAGTGGGTTGTATAGATGAGTTTCTTCTGTAGCAACCATCCTGTGGTAGCACATCCTGAAACTATTGCAAACACTTTAAACAGTGAGTAAAATCAAATTCAGCTTGCTGTTGACTAAATGTTTGATCACGTCTCTCCCTGTGGGTGTGCTGTGGTTTTTGTTTAGTTCATTGTATAACTAAAGAATATGCCAAAACCAACTTGATTCTGATCAAATTAGAATGTGTTGCTTGCTTTGATTTTGGAAGTAAATGTAATATGTTTGTGTTAATGCAATTTATTCAGAAAATCTGTTGGTTAGTATACACTCTTTATTCTGCTTTTTGGCTGAATTCCAGCTATAAAAAAAAGTTTCTATTAAAAAAACTGTGTTTACAAATATGAATCAATTGAGAGATGTGGTGTTTTGATAATAATCAGGTGTTTGCATGTTCTAACGAGACAGTGATTTGTAAGTATATTGTGTCATCCTTAATAACGCTGGCCTTTCAAGCTCAGCATGTGAAATGTTGTACACTGTGACAGTGACACCTTTAGGTTTTAGTATAGTTCTTGACTATAAGTTCCGAGTTTGTTTGGCCCATTTATAGCCTATACAGTATCCTTGATTAGTCAAAGCTCCTGGGTTTGGGGGTGTTTTTTGGGTTTGGTTTCTTTGTTTCCCTCCGCCTCCCCATCCCAAACTTGGTCGACATTTGAGAGCACCCTGTCTCTGCTATACTTTGAAATCTGTGCTTTAGTCTTACCTGAGTAAGCTGCACTTACCTTTTTTGTGAAAGATACCCACAGGGGAGATAATGCAGTAAGCTGGTGCAGTAGTGTAAGAAGGGAGATGTTTTAATATGCATACTTACATGGACTGTTGGAGGAGTTGTTGAGTATACGTTTTATGTGTTACTGTATTTCTGGTCTGAGTTGTGAAGATCTACCTCCTCCCCATCCTTACCCCACCCCAGCACTGTAGGACTCTGGTTGCTCATTATTATGGACTGGGTTGTTTTACTAGCCAGTAAGAACTCTAACCAGTGAATGAGCATCTAAAACTATGTCTGGTTCTTCCCACGTTTGTCTTAAGTTGAAATAAGCTTGGTCTGAAAAGCATTAAGTTAAATAGAGGCTATAGAACAGGTGACTAAAATTTAAACCTGTCTCTATGTCCAACAGATGATGTTGTTCACAGATTTTTAGCAAAAACGATGTCTTTGGCTACCCTCTTTGCATACACTTGAGAAGTGGTATTGTCATTATTGCTGATTCACTGAAATGTTTAGAAAACTTTTTTTATTAGCAAAACAGCTGACACCTCTTTCAATTGTCAGTAAAAATATAAGCAAAAAATACTTTCTACTGGAAAAAGTAAAGAAATTAGTTGTTACTGAAGATATTAAAAAAAAAAAAAAAAAAGAAAAAAAGGGAAAAAAAAAAAAAAAACCAACCCAGAAATTGGTCCATTTAACTTTCTTGCTGAAATGCATGTGCAGTTTTTTTGGCATAGATTCTGTTCCTAATTTAGTACATTGAGCGTGTTTCAGAAATAGGTCGTCTGTTAAATTCGGACATGGTCCATACTGAGAAGTAAGACTGAGAGAAAAGGAAGGTCATTGTTGATTCTCTTTTTCGTGATCCTTGGGTATGTATTGTAGGAAAAAAGAATCGCTACAGTGCATGTGGCAAGAAATGTAGTGAAAATCAAATGCTACCTTTGTTCTATAAACATCCTTAGATTAATTTTAAGAAATAAAAACCAAAACACGAGAGCTAGTGTTTTTAAGGCTACTCCACAGCTGAGTGTTCCTTCCAATTCTTACATCACTTTTATGTTTAATATATTTTTCCAGAGAAATGATCACTTTTGTTTACAGTCTGTATCTCGTATTCATAGCTACATTTCTTAGGCCTGTTCCAGCATGCTGTTGTTTCATTTCTTTATAAAACTAGATCTACCCAGAATCACTCTAAAATTTTTTTTTCTAAGGTTTGTTTCTGGGTATTGTGGCAATGGAAAGTCCTTTTCATCATGTGGAAGAGGTGTGTAAATATAATTGTGGGTTTAGTGCTGAGTGTCATTTAACAGCTTAAGAAAGGGCAGATAGTAAAGTTATTTGAACTGTATTTTTATAGATGCTTTTGTTGAGAGAAAATTCAGTTTCTTGTTTACTCAAGCTGTTTATTTAATGAGAAGTTATAAATAGCCTGTTCTGTTTAATTGGGTTAACTTCTAAATGCTATATACAGAGAAGTAGAAAGGAAAATACTCAAAGGTGCATTCATTGTATTTTATTATCCAGATTTTTAAACAATTGCACATTGTTAATTTATCATTAGTCTTTAAATTTGGGCATGCAATCTTTGGTAATATAAAAAAATGGACAATTTATTGAAATTGGCTCTTAAATTCAGCTCTGAAAAAAGATACTTGAGTGTAGTACTACAACAGCAATATACTCTGTAAATGATCAGAATTAGGATTGATATGTGTTAAGTTTAATGAGTATGTTAAGAGAAAAGAAACCAAATCTTTTTAGTTAGACCAGTCTATGAAACCGGGTAGACCTCAAATTGGCCAACATTTACGCTTATGATTAATTTTGATATCATGGACCTACTTGTTTGTTTGCTGAAGCTGTTCTTTGGCATCATAAAATAATAGTCGTTTGTCTTCAAAATAGTACTTCTTTTAGGGATAGTTGCAAGATCAGGATGAGCCTCAAGAAATGTAGAGACAACACATAAACTGCCCTTGTTACAAAGAATTGCATTTTCTTATATTTCTTCCCAAATTTTAAAATTGCTTACTTGGGGATCTTTTTCTGGTCACACTGATCTTTCTGTATGATCTGTAAAATGAAGATGGTTACAGGTAATTACATAAGATACTGTACCTTTTCATTTTTTAAATAAGGTTAGGTGATATGTGCAAGTAATGCAGAAATTCTTATATTCTGTAAACAATTTGTTTTTTATTTTTCAGCTGTACTTTCAGGTTTCCCAGCACAAACATCAAGATAACTTTCACAGCTCTGTCCAATGAAAAGAGAGAAAAACAGGAGGCCCCGGAGTCCCCAGTGAAGCCTGTGCAACCCCAGATCTCTCCCTTAACAATAAACATTCCAGACAACATGGCTCACCTGATCAGCCCTCTCCCTTCTCCCACAGGAACTATCAGGTATTTAAACCCTGCACATTGGATATAGGGCAATACATGGTTACAGGCTTGAGATAGCTTTCTAATTCATTGAAAGTATTTTGCTTTTGTGGTACAAGTTTAGTTGAAGCTCAGCATTACCTGCCTTGGAGAGAAGCACCATTCTGCTAACTAATAAAGTCAGTTGCATGAGCAACCTTTAATATTCAAATTTAATGAGTTAAGTGTGTAACAGTTTGCTCAGAAGCCTGGCATTCTTAGAACAGCAAAGGAGCATATCTTTTTCTTGCATTCCAGGTGATTTAGGTTGCTTTTTACTCTTGCATGCTTATGGCAACACTTTAAATGAGATAAGTCTAAATTATACTATTTTTAAACATTCTCATTAGTTACTGTCCCCCTGAAGTCTATCATCAGAAAAAATGTTTATCATTAGTATGGAAAATAGACTGATCCCTTACTCCAGAAGATTTGTTACTGATGAGTCATAGCTGGAAGTAAACAGATGTTTTACTTAAAATACAGTGTAAGATGTGGAATTTAGTGTAGGGAAGTCTTCTGCAGGGGAGGTTAATCTGGTTTTTTTACTTGCTGTGCTGCTTGATTTGCTAATTGTAGCCATTGTCTGACTTGTTCTTTGGAACCAAACTCAGTTAAACATAAGCAAGCTGTCCTCGCAAACTGATAAAATTAGTTTACATTCAATTTTGAAAACTCATAGAAAGTTCAGGAGCAAGAGTTTATTTAAAGGCACGGAAAATTGTGTTTCAAAGTCACATACATGCTTTTGAAAGTTTTTTCTTCTCCTCTCACTTCCTGTGTCTTCACTTGAGTGAAGGACTGTTAATGCTTGATTTTTAAAAATGTAGATCTGGTTAATGAAATTTGAATGTAAGGGTAATTGACTTCTTTCATGCTTGCCAAGATCTTGATCTCAATATTGTGGTGTTTAATGAGATCTGTATAAATGGTGGAAGTAGAGAGAAAAGAGATCTAGACTTGACTGTATAACAGGTTTGCTTTCTTATTAAAATTCAGGGAAAACATATCTTGCCCAAGAAATGACAGAGCAGCTCATAAATATTTCAGATAATATCACATATATCACCACAGTCTTTGCCTCACTGTGAATTTTGTAATTCTCTTCAGGGCTTTCATGCACCTGTTGACTGTAGTTTATTACCAAAAAAAAAAAAAAAAAAAAAAGATTACACTTTTGAGTCTATTTTGAGAGCAAAGCTTGACAGTTTCTCTTCAAATCATCCTGTTTTGTAGAAGACTTGTAAACTTGCTTTGATTATACCATATGTGTCGCTTTGTCAATATATGCTAAAGTGAGCACAGTAGAGGGATGTTGTCAGCTGATATGTGAAAACATAGAACAGCAGTGACCTATATTTAAAAAAATAAATTAGTTACCCATTTTGGCTCTAATCAAGGATTCTTCCATACAACACTTAAAAAATCCAATCTCCCTTGTATAGTATATCATTAGTAGCAAAACGTTGGTGGATTTCTTGTGATGTGAAGCTTGAAGATTTTTTTTTTTTAATATATATTGCCCAATCTAAAGTGCCTGCCTTGCTTTTGTACGTAAAAAGGGAGGTAGCAAAAAGCTTGAGAGGCCAGGCAGACAAACAAAACTTGACAGATGTAAATTTGTTAAAGCTTTATTGTATAAATCTAAATAACATTCTCTAGCTTTATTGGTTACTCAGTGTTTTGAACCATAGGTTCAATTTAGGTTAAAGATTGTCTTTGGAGATAAAGCTGGTTCTGGGGGCACAGCAGGCTTTGTCATTCTAATTTTTAGTTAACTTTTTTTGAATTTCTGAGGGCTGTTTTGAAATCAGTTACAGCGTGAATTGCTGAGAAGTATACCTCATTGTAGAGAACTGCTGAAATGTTTTTTTGGAGAAGGGGACAGACATCACCCAATGACTGTCTCTTTCCCGTTGGCTAAATGAGAATTTTAGAAGAAAATTGGCTTTGTGCAGCTGTGGTTCCTGTGGACTGTGCAAGGCAGGGAGACAACTGTTAGAAAGATGGTACACTGGAATTATATACAATTATATCTTTGTTTTTCTGTGATGGATAGCAAAACGTGAGGTGTCAAGAGACACTTCATTGGTTTGGCACTATCTTTTGCTTTGTAACAGTGTATCTACTCTGTTGGCCTAATACTGTGTTAAATTAGGTGAGTCAGTGCTACTGCATCCCGTTTACAGATAAATTTATGATTTTTATACATATCTATGTGTGTGTATATGTATGCGCGCATACCTGCAAACACTTAAAATAATGTTGGTTTAGATTTAAATGAGAATCAAACCTTTTTTTCCTCATCGGTCGCTCTATTTTCTCAAACATGCAAAAATACTGCACAGGAGAGACCTTTTTTGAGCGGGCTGAGTACAAGCATATGGCAAAAATTTCAGGCAAGATGTGTTTCTTGTTTCAAATGAGTGTCTTAAAATTTGTGGTTGCTTATGTAGTTGAAGTGGACTTTTCTGTTGGCAAATCTTACACAAATGCAGTTCAACCTAATAAATCAGTTAATCCTTTTTCCTTTGAGGAGGAAAGCCTGAGCTTCATTTGACAGGTTTCTTCCTGCAGTGATTTTAATTCCCATGGATGAGTTAGAAAGGCTTGGAAGATGGGGTTTATAATGGAAATACTGACAGACCCTTAACTGTAGTCTAGAAGCTCTGGTAGTGGGCTTTTCTGCAATAAGAGCTTTTTGATTAGACATAATGTGGTGATATACTGTATAACAAAATAGTAGGATCTTCTTTTTATGCTCTACAGTGCTGCAAATTCCTGCCCATCTAGCCCCCGTGGTGCAGGCTCTTCAGGGTACAAAATGAGTCGTGTAATACCATCTGACCTACATTTAATGGCTGACAATTCACAGTCAGAAAATGACAAGGAAGCATCGGGTGGAGATAGCCCAAAGGTAAACATTGTTTGAAATCAATCCCATAAATCACATCTTAAGTGAATATAAGACTTCTGAAATTTTGTTTGTTAAAATATATACACTAAGTCATAATTTAACGTTACAGACTTTAAAAACAATTTGTAGGTTTTTGTGATTAGATATATTGTATTTATTTATTTATTTATCTCTCTTCCCTTTGTGGGAGGGTCTCTGTGTATTTTCAGTTATATATCTGTTTATAGGCTATCGAGAATTCATTACTGTTGTATGTTTCTCCAAATCTTTAATGTTATCTTAAAATCTGCTAATCAGAAGAGCACAGTTGTCTTAGTTTCTTTTCTGTCTCAAGATTTTGGTCATCCAAAAGTGCCTTTTTTTAATTGTCTTTTGTAAATTTTGATTTAGAAAGGGGCATGTGTATCTTTAAAGTTTATTGATGCAGACTTTTCTTTTTCTTGTACAGGACGACTCTAAGCCACCTTACTCCTATGCACAGCTAATAGTACAAGCAATTACAATGGCACCTGATAAGCAGCTTACACTAAATGGAATTTATACGCACATAACTAAAAATTATCCGTACTACAGGACAGCAGACAAGGGCTGGCAGGTAAATTTGATTTCTGGAATGTTTTTTTTTTAGTTGTAAGTAATACTGGCAGCTGTAAGGTGTCATAAGAAGTCAATTTGTGAGCCTAACAGCCCTTCATGAATAGAATTTGTCAAATGAGTGTTCTGTCTTTTTCCCGATTGTAAGTTCTCCAACAAAGTAGGCAATTTACATTACTCTGTATTTGAAACATTGCTTTATTCATGGATTCTCTAAACCTCTAAGAGGGATACATACAGACTTTTGGGGAAGAAAAGTACAATTGGCACTGTGGATTTAAATATATGTATGCTATCTAGGAATGTGGTTGTGTTCTGTAACTTATACTTGTGTAAACATCTGTATTGTTATCTTGAGATAAAATTAAGATATTAAATGTTAGAAGTTTGGTTATATTTGAAAACAGTGGTCTTGACCATGCAATACAGTGAAGGAACAAGTGTATGTTATCTGTTGTTATCTTGCACTATTATGTGCCCCTTTTTTATTTGTGCAACATAGTCTATTTGTGAACTTGTTTCTGTACTGAGTTAGACCAAACCCTTCAATTCTATAGAATTAATTTCTGCTTTCTTTTCATTTTTAAAGAGACCAACCTTAGCATTTGCCAGGATGACTAACCGAGTATGAATCAGTCTGGGCATAGTCTTTCCAGATAACGCATAAAGGTTCGATGCCTTTGCTGCTGTTTTTAGTTTCAGCAAAGGACAGAAGAGCACAATTAGCAGGACTGGCCAGTTTGCCTGTATAACATTCAGACTGCACTGTTGGTCATGGAGTATCAGTTTCACTGTGTTGCTGCTTAGTACAGTCATGATCTGCAACAGAGGCATGCTCTGAAGTTATTTTCAGGGAAGTAAAACTTGGAGACTGGGGGAGGGGAAAAGTGAAGAAGTGCTAATACTCGCTGTAAAGTAGAAGACTAAAGAATACATGCCATTTCAGTAGTGGAATAGATTTTTAAATATTAATCACATACTTATTTGTCACAGGGCCTATATGAAAGTTGAATCACTCTTAGAGGAATTCCAAGGTTAGCAGGGAATGTAACTCTTCCTAGCTTTTTGTTAATGGTTTGGCAAGTGAAGGGCTTAGCTGTTGTTGTGGCTAGGAAGTCTCTTTTGTTTCCTTTTCGCACATAAGCAGTGCAGAATCCTTGCTGCAGTCATACTAACAGATCTGTTTTAGCAACAAGATTCTGTTTATAAAACGTTGGTGTGCTTTTTGCTTCCTATTCTGAAATATCTTGAATATCTGTGAGTATAATGCTTCTTTATGTAAGCATCATGGAACCAAACGTGCATACACTGTAATGCATGGTTAAAGAATTCTGCCTTAGAACAGTGTATGTATTTAGATGTATAATACTTCACAGAACCAAGGTGATAGACACAGCAGACGTAGTATGTTCTGGAATAATTAATTAGCACCTATTCATAAAAACAATTGGAAAAGCTGAAAATCAGGTGCTCTTCAGTCACTAGTCATATAAAGCACTGCTACAACCCTAACAGGTGTACCCCATGTGTGAATAGCTCTGCTAGCTTTTATCCATCAGGTGTTAGATTACAGTTAGGGTGACTTATAGATGTTTTAAATAATATTTGAGGCCATATATGCACATATTATTCAAAACATAGAGTACATACATGTGTATAGTATCCAAATCCTATACCTTAATAAATAGTATTGACGTATTTGTATCCTTTATTATATAAAGGTCTCATTTTGTTGAGCACTTGACTCTTCTTCATGAACTTACTTCAGCAGGTACTTTTGGATCTACTTTTTTATTCTAGCATATGGAGAAATAAATACAATTTATAAACACGTTCTTGGCATCTTTCTAGTTCTGTTTCAATTTTTGGCAGGGAAAACCATTTCTGGTTTCATCAGTTTGCATTTAAGAAACCATACATGGTTATCATTGCTTTAAGTTTTCCAAACTTGCCATCAAGGTCATGAACTCAGACATTTGAGTAAGATTTGCACTTGATTTTGCAAATTTTTGAGAGCTTTTGATAACATAAAACTTTTTCTCCATTTTTCCCCCTGTTCCACCACAAGTGTTTCAGTATGTATGCCTATCGTTATTTTCTTCTTGTTCAGTGATAATATTTAGAGAGATTTGGGGTTTATCTCTTTAAAAAAATAAAAAAAATTTTAAAAAATTATATATGCAAAGTCAAGCATAGGTACAGCCACTTCAGGGTGTTACCAGTTTTCTGCATCTCTGATTGAAGAATTGCGTGTGTTTCTAGCATAGTGAGGATAAAGGAATGTGCAAACTACTAGAGTGCAGTAACAAAGATCTCACTGAAGAGCTGTTTTAGGACCTACTGCCATTTGTTGTTTTTCTAGACACACTAAATCCTTGGCTCCTTTGTTGAGACAGACTGGACTGTGGGTGAACTCACAACAATCTAGCTGCATTTGGAACTTGTGTAATTTAACCTTTTCTTTCTGTATTGTGGAACAGTAACAGGATTATCATATAAGATCAGGATCAGCATATGCTGTATTTTACTGGCCCTCCTAGAATGAACTCACATTTTCTTTGACACCTGGGGAAGGGTGGTGTATGAAGACAGATAATTTTTTTTTTTTACACTGCATTATATGCAAGTATTTGTAGTGTTCCAGCAGTTTGTTGCAATCACCATGTTTCTCATTAGAGAATTAAGTTGGATTCCTGTTATTGCCGCATTAGCATACTGGGTTTTTTAATTGTTGGGAAAGATTTGAAAAATGCAAGAGTCCTTTCAGGTTTATCGCACTGCCTTTGTAGTGCTCTGAGTTCTGTTGAATTAAGGAATTAAAGACCTGAACCCCGAGTCTCCTATAGTACGAACTGCTGCAGTAGGCCACATTCTGACTTGGAAAAGTTATATGAATTCTACATATTTTTTTATGTTCCATAGAATTCAATACGTCACAATCTCTCTCTGAATCGTTATTTCATCAAAGTACCACGTTCCCAGGAAGAACCAGGCAAAGGCTCATTCTGGAGGATAGACCCTGCCTCTGAAAGCAAATTAATAGAGCAGGCTTTTAGGAAAAGGCGGCCTAGGGGAGTACCTTGCTTTAGAACCCCTCTGGGACCACTCTCTTCTAGGTAAGGAAAAACAGATGAACAAAAAGACTATGGCTGTTGTTTAATCTTCAGGCTGATGCAGACTTGATAGTTTTGGATACAGTCACAAGTTTAGTAATTTAATTTCATCCAGACTCAGTATTTGAATTCTGTATGATTTACTAGGAGGCTGCCCCATACACTAGGCTTGTTTTTATTGCTTGTTTTTAGTGTTAACGAACTGACTCAGTTTGCATAACTAACTATCAGATTGTTAATGTAAGCAAGCCTTGGTGTACCTTTGGTTTTTTGGTTTTTTTTTTTTAACAGAGTTATAATTTTAATTTCTAACTGCCACCTACTGCATTTTAAAACTGTTTGCAAAGAAAATTATCAAATACCAGCTACCATTTTATTGAACTTAGAGATGACAATTATGTATTTAGTTTTATAATGTCCAAGCAGAATTCATGATGGGGAAATACATGGGTTTAAATTACTCCCTCTGTAAAGTTACGGCCTTTCTGCTGGAGCAGATCTTTTATTACTTGCCCTGTAGACTGAGATTTGCTCATCATTCTTCTCCACCAGAAGAAATGTTCATGTTTCACAGATTGTTTAGAGAGTCTCCCTAAGAAGGCGCCCAGCCACTTCTTCTGCATTAACTATACCTGAAGTTTCCTTTTAAATTCTGTCCCTGTTTAACAGAAGCTTTATAAAGATCATCAGAACTGCTTTGGGTTGTAACTGTACTTGCCAGAAGGCAGAGGTGCCCTCCTGTGGGCAGTGTGTGTTACGGTCTCTGTAGAGGAAGGTCACTGTCTTTCACAGTTCAGAAGTTAAAACACATCAGCTGCTGCTTTCATTTTTAAATACAGAAGTGCCCCAGCTTCTCCTAATCACTCTGGAGTGTTGTCTGCACACTCCAGTGGAGTCCAGACCCCCGAGAGTCTGTCCAGGGAAGGATCTCCAGTCCCAATGGAACCTGAGCCTAGTGCTATCCAGCCAAAACTAGCGGTAATACAAGAAGCGCGATTTGCACAGAGTGCCCCAGGTGAGGATTCCTGAAATAAGTGTTTGGGGTGGGAGGTGGGAGAGGGCTAATATATAAATATTACCAAGACTTCTTCATATGTACACCAAAAAAATCCATAAAAATTTAACCTCTTTAACATTTATAGTAAATCTTTGATAAACACATAAACATGCCAGGGAAATTCTGTTTGCATACATACAGACTGTTATCTGTGTGCTGTTCCAGCACCCTTGATCACTGTGTTACTAAGCAGAGATTGTGCTTCTGTCCTGTGTAGGACTGTATTGTCTTGTAACAGTTGTCACTTCCTTTCAAAACATATTCTTTCTGGTTTAGGAAAAAAACCCTCTAGGTTACATGGATTGCAGAAATAAGCAAGTGTCTTGCATGCATCTGTGGTCATGTCATCCTTTCAAAGGTGGGGGTAAAAAGAAAGGATAAAAGACAAGGAATAAATTTGCGTGATAAGAAATTTCCTATAAAAAAAAGAAGAGCGTGAGGCATGATGCAATAAGGATGTATTTGTTTAATTACCTTAGTTTATATACTTTTGCCATCCTTTTTCTTTGTGATATTCTGGTACTACAGAAGTGCCAGTGACCATTCTTTGGCAAAGGCAAACATGGTCCTGAGCTGAGCAGAGACACCAGGCTTTCCCCAGCCTAGGAAGCTGAGAGTTTTGCCAATGCAGACATGTTCCACACAACACCTGAAGCACATGCATGTTCCCATCTATGGAAAGGGGTTTTACTAAATGAGTATTAAACATAGCTTTGGTAGTACAGCTACATTTGGGGAGAGGTGGGGGGGCTTTTGCCCAAATGATGCGTGGGTCTTAATGAGCTAATACAGCACTTAACTTTGAATGTGCGGCTTGGAATAGCCATGTGTCATAATCTTCATTGTCCGGTTTTATCTTTTGGATCATTCAGGCATTAGTGAAGGAGGTTGTTAATCCTCTCAGGCTTTAGTGTTAAGTTTAAAAGAATGACTGGCTTAAAAGAAATAATTAAAATTGGCAGCCTAATTTTTTCTTTTTCTTGGTAGGATCACCTCTATCTAGCCAACCAGTTTTAATTACTGTACAACGGCAGCTACCACAAACTATTAAACCCGTCACCTACACTGTTGCAACTCCTGTGACGACATCAACATCCCAGCAGCCTGTAGTTCAGACAGTTCATGTGGTCCACCAGATACCAGCTGTGTCTGTCACAAATGTGACTGGATTAGCACCAGCAAACACTTACACTGTAGCTGGACAGGCAGTAGTCACGCAAGCTGCGATGGTAACCCAGCCTAAGGTAGAACCTCAAGAGAATGGAGACCACAAGGAAGTAAAAGGTGAGAACCTGTGGGTTAGTTGTTTTGCTAGCTCTTTATACAGAAGGATTATTACTTAAACTTAGTTCCAGATGAATGCTTGAAATGTTTGCCCCAAACTGAAGATTTTGCATCGTAATTTCTCAGATATGTTGGAACTAGTAATAAAATGGTATACTTTTTCACTGAGGGTTGATTAAGTAAAAACAAATGGTTCTTTAACACTTTCTTGTTTTTCACAATGTTTTATCTTCTGCTTTTCAGTTAAAGTGGAGCCTATACCTGCTATTAGTCATGCTACAATAGGAGCTGCTAGTCGTATCATTCAGACATCTCAGACCACACCCTTACAGACAGTTACTATAGTGCAACAGGCACCTCTAGGTCAACACCAGCTACCAATAAAAACTGTAACGCAGAACGGAACGCACATAGTACCTATCACCACTGCGATACAAGGACAGGGCAATGCTGGTATGTATTGTGTTAAGATGTTCTGTTGCCTTGTACGTGTTAAAACCTCAATATGACCATTGCTGAATTTTCAAATTCTGTTCTCGTGTCTTTTGTAGTTATACTGAAAACTTAAGTTCTACAAAAAATTTAGATTACAGCCTTGTAACGGATTGTTCCCTCCCTGTTTGTAAGAACTAGCGTTTCTCTTCATTGATGATTACTTGAACAGCTATTTATTCTCTTTGTGGTCATTATAGGGATGTACTTAGTGGTGACAACCCGTCCTCCCTCCTCCTTAAACCCAGGATATAAACAAGTTTTTAAAGAAGTTCCTGTAAAACAGTGCCATTAAAATGGTAACTGCTCCCCAGATGATTTGTCAAGCACCAACCAACAGGAAAACAAGACAGAACTTGCTTGTGGGTTGGCTTTTTGAACTGTTACTTTTTATTCTGTTTTTATTGAACCAGTACTAAAAATGACAAAAATTCTGTAAGATTTTGCGATTCTTCTTGTCTGAATATCATCTTTCCCCTCTCAGACTCAGCAGTCTGAGTGGATAGCAGTACCTTTTCGTAATTTTTATATATTCACGCTTGTTCACAGAACGTTCAGTTTTGTTGTGCTTTGTAGGTGCATACAGCTTGTTCTAACAGTTTCACTTTCATATGTTACCTGATACTGAAGGAGCTTCTTTGTCATAAGATATGTTTACAGAAATAGTTTTAGGCTATCTTATATCAATTAATTGATATTATTGAAATATGCATTTCTGCTCTAAAGTCTTTCCAATGGATTGAATTATCTGCTTTGTTTCCTTTTTACTCTTTTTCCATCACTGACATTTATAGGTCATGCTAGGCATATTTAAGAAATGAGGCTGAACATAGGAGTAGAATTGTGGTGCTTCTCACTGTTTCACTGTGTGTGATAGGGTTGTGCTTGCAGTGATGGGAATTTTCACTCTTGAGATTCCTGGGCTTAAATACCTCATGAGATGTTTACATTTTGAACAGCAAATGAGGTGTATTCAGGTCCTGGTCTCTCTGTTACAGTAACTCCTAAACCAGCAAGAAAACAGGTAATTCTTAGGCAGAGCATCTAAAGGGGGAACTAGGCCTACAGAAATATGGATTTGTTTGTGTGTCTACAAACATGTGTGGGTTCACACACTCATATCTACGTATGTCTGTGTTCACACGCATACACCTGTATTAAGCACGCATTTGTGTTTGTGTGTGTTTGTCTTTGGAGAAAGAAGATTTGTGCAATCTGAAAGCTAAGAAATCCAGAGCAACTACTCTTCTAACATTTTCTATTTGTAGTAAGAAGGTGCTTTCTGATCTTACTCACAGCAAAACAGTTTAGCAGCACTTTTTACTGCCTGTCAGCCTAACTGAAAGCTGTGAAGTCCAAAATAAATTCAAGTCCCTTACTGCAGAATAAAATTATGTAACTAGATATTCTTTATTTCGACTTTAAGTGTGGATTTCAAACTTTGTTGTTCTTTTGTGTATTTCATACTTCCATGTATCAGTTGTGGCTGCAGCCAGCAAGTCCCTTTCTACTAAACAGACCCCGGAGTGAATAATGCAGTAATAGTCTTAATGCATGTTTGACAATGAGGGGCAAACTTCTTGTTTTTATTTAAGCAACAACAGATTTGCAGTAAGGCATTTTATTCAGAAGTAACTATCTTTATGGCATCTCTTCAGAAATTGTACGAGGAATAGCTTTTCTAATAAAGCTGAGTAACTGTTGAGATACAAGAACAAATTATTTTACAGTTGCAGTGAAGCTTTTTGCATCAGGTAAATATTTTCTGAAGTATTTGTTCTACCAGTAAATACTAAGTACAAAACAGTTTGGTTACGTGCAGAGGTGATATTCCAGGTATTCTCTAGGATAGCTTACTAACAACAAATATAACAAGTTTAGCAAATAGACATGAAGTCTGTAAGGAATTCTTAAGCTCCACTAGCAGGGAATGCTGTAATAATGTCAGCAAAGTGGTGGTGCTGAAGAAAGGGAGCTTCTATGTAAAAAAGCATGTGGTTTGATAATGTTTAGATAATTTTTCATGAAATGCAATGAACAAGTAAATATATAATTAGTATTTTGCATTATTTGCGAAGATGTTTGAATAGTTGGTCTAATAAAGTCAGGGTTGATACTGAGAAACAGACTCCTAAGAACAAGTAGAGGGAAGGAACCTGTGGATGTCTCAGAAGGTTTAAAGGACTGTACTCGCCCATTAATGGTGACTTGTACTATCTTTTCCATGGAATGAGATTAAAATCTTGTATAGGATGTTTGAACTGTATACATTCCTGTTGATCTAATTCAGTTGTGCACTTGAATCTAATCAAATGCATCATTTCTTAACGCTACTACTTGTTAAAGCACTGCCTTTTCCTTATGTTGTGGGTAAATGCCTCATTATCTGACAAAGCAGAATTGCTACTTGAGTTGTGTGCATCTCAGGGCTGTGTGAATTGCATAGCTTTTCTTAAATACTTACGGCCACAGATGAATATGATATGGTGGTGCTCTCCTTCCAGGCCAAATAATACATTCTGCAGTGATCCATAGACACGGCCAGAAACTGCTGAAAGGGAATTTGGAATTCGCTTCCCAGTTCTGTCACAAATTACTGTGTAGATTGGCTTTCAGTCATTAAATCTTTGTCTGTCTTCAGCTCCCCATTGACAAAATGGAGATACTTCCCCATTCTCCCACCTGTGTCCATATCTGCGTGAATGTTGAGTGATTTGGGAAAATGTCCTTCAGGTTTGTACAGAAAGATTAAACAGCTGGACCTGAATCTCAACTGGGATTGCTAATACCCCATATAGTACCAATAAGGGAATTCATCATTTTAATGAAAATGCAGATTTGCTTTCAGTATCATCTGTTTTGACAAGGATTACGGTGCTGAAGTTTTTATTGTCTTTTTACAGCTGCTGCGAGTCCTTTGCATATGTTAGCAACCCATGCATCTGCATCGGCATCTCTTCCAACAAAGCGCCAGAATGGAGACCAGTCAGAACAGCAGGAACTCAAACGTATCAAAACAGAAGATGGAGAGAGCATAGTCATAGCTGTTAACGTGGACACCCCATCTGTGGCAGTGAGTGATAAAGGCAGCCAGAACTAGAAACTTAGGGGAGTTTTCTTTTTTTTTTAAAAAAAAAAATAAACTCCATGGTGCCAAAAGGAGACACTTAAATATAACACCTAAAATGTTGGAACATGTTCTCACGCAGTGGGGAAAGGGGCCCTGTGATCAGACTTCAACTTTCAGCACTGAAAAAAAACCAACACAGGTGGCCTTAAAACTTGGTAATTTAAAGTCAAACTGCAAAACATCTTGTTCCAGAGGCTGTGACCCCCCGCTCCTCCCTGCCCCCTACCGAACTGTGTACACTGAGAAATACAGTGTTGGGGAGGGCTGCAGCTTTAAAAAAATCTTTATCAGATTATTTTAAGGACTGAGTATCTCAGTGTAACGGCAGCATGATAAGCGCTTAGTGTGAACTGGTTTCAAAACGATTGTATATTCCTTAAAGGGAACAGAGGCAAGGAGCCATTTCCTACATCTTGGCAGCTAGCCTTTCATAATGACCTACCCGATGCAGTTGTTGGTAGATATGCAGTATTTTGTTGTTCACATGTGGAATTAGAAATTTTTGAGGTGTATTTTCATTTCTTTGCAAAATAATGGGGTCTTTGACATTTCAAATCACTCCATTTCTACTCCGGAAACTTTGGAATCACACAATACTTTTCATGTGAAATTTTGTTTGGTATAAAACTGAATGTAGGGTTTTTTTAACCAATGGAATGATTTACTTTTGTCTGTCCTGTTAAAGTTCAGATAAAGCTACTTTATTACATCTGCAAATTTTCATATTTTAGCAGTTGCCTGATAAATTTAATCAAATTTTATTACCATGTGTAGTGATCAAATGCTTCTTTGGGCTTGCATGTAACTGATTAGAAATTACAATGTAAATGAGCCGTTAACTGACGTAAAGAACTGCTATGAATTTGACCAGAGCTGCACTTACCTGTTTCTCTTTCTGCTACCTTTTGCTGTTTGTTACTTTGTGTTGACTTTGACTGTCCCTGGCATATTTTTCCAGTCTAAAGTAAAACAAGAGTCTCGCTTAATATTGTGTATGTTTAAGATAACAGACTGTTCTTCATTTAGAAAGATGAAATTCTTTATCACAAGTCCTTTTAAAAAGAGTAAAATTATCTTGTCAGAGGTATATTCGATATTTTTAAGCTTAAGCACCCATCAGTAGAAATTAATCTGACCAGTTTCTCCGTAACACTTTTGATGTCATACACTGACCTTTTGGGGTCTCCATTAAGAGTAGCTGTTGTGGTTTTCTAACAGTGGCTACTGTATTATTATAATAATTTTTTTTTTTTAAGTGTGTGTTCTGCAGTTGAACATTTTAAAATGTATTGGTAATTTCTCACTTTAATTGTGGTAATAGATTCCACTTTACATTTCAAAATTAAATTTAAACGTAAGGCTGCTGTTCAGTCTTTAATTCACATAACGTCTTATTTCCTCATGCAGTAAGGTGAGTGAAAGCTAGATAGTTGGCTTAATTTGAATCTGGTTTTTGTCATTTTCTGTAATAATGATGCATTATTTATATTTCCTTTCCCACTACGAAAGGAAAAACTGTATTTTCATGATGGACTGAACAGTTTGGAGTGGTTTATTTAGGCAGCTTTTGGGAACTATTTACCTAAAGACCAAATATGAGAAATCTGTACAAGTTTTGTGTTCATCCACAAAATGGAACTGTTACGATGTCTCTGCAGATAATACATATTAAAAAACTATGAAAAAAAAACTCTACACAAGCTGAATTTATAACAGGCATTTAAAAAAAAGCATAACCTGAAAAGAAACATTTCTGTAAAATTGCAACATTTTCTTTAGAGGTTTTAAAAATAAAAAAAGTAAAGTTTTAACATACTTTTTTTAAGAAAAAAAATCCAGTACTAGTAATTTAATTTGGTGTTGAATGAATTGACTAGAATGTGGTTTATTTTCAGAAGTGAGAATCTGTTCACAACTAGGGCTAGGTGAATAATAGTGTATAAGATTTTTTTAAATAAAATTAAATTTTATTCAGCAAATTAACTAAGTTGAAATTACTCAACAAGTGTGTTTGAAATATTTATGTATATTTTGGGGTGATTAATCCAACTTATGTTGGCAGTGCCACAGGTAACGGTATCAGACCAAACAAGCCAAGGTGATCCTTACTGTCGGTTAATGGTAGGCAAGCTGTACGTGACGTCCTCCTGGGAGGAGGGGGAGATGAGAACATGGTCTGGGTTCTGATTCTGTAACATGGTGGTGTTTTACACTTTTTGGTACGTGTGGAATTTGGCACAAGAATGCACCTTCGTTCAGATGGATAAACCCTTTGAAAAAGCTGTGTGATGTGAGGAAACTGCTTACGGTCTTACATGAAAATAACATCTGCTTATCCATGCTTTTGGTGATGCTGAGGAATGCTCATACGGGATAATCTCCAGTGCTTTTAACTAATGCAGACTTCTCTGTCTTATGTGTCAGGCCTCACTAAATTGACTCGTTGGGTTCTTGAAACAAAATTGTTCCCTGGTTTGTCTATGTATTTATGTGCTTCCCACTATTCATACAGTGATGGGTACTGCCTAATAGCAAAGGCTGAGTGAGACTCCTGTCATGCTGCTGCTTCTGAGGTGATGCTCGTGGCCTTTCTTCAGTTGGTCTTATGTGCTGACCATCCTGGGCTCCCGCAGTCAATTTGATCTTTCTTTTGCAAATGGAAAATTTCTTCAGGTGATTTCATGGATGTAGAGATGTGACCTCTCTTTAGGAATGGATGTAACCTTTCCACTTAGCCTTTGTGTTTTATGATGCATGGTATTATTTCCTTTTGTGCTCCTTCTAGGCTGCCTGTTCAGTGTTCTCCCTGTTAAGAGTCAGCTTTTGTGTAATCTTTAAAATGACTCTGAAAAAGGCTCAGAATTCTAACATACAGAAGAGCTAAGTGTGCGTTTGCTTCTAGTGACAGAAGTGCATATCTCCACTGCCAGCGTTTTCCCTCCTCCTTGCATGAGATCCCTCTCCCTGTCCTTACGCCAGCTTTGTTTTTGATCCAGCTGCATGTGGCAGTGGCCCCACGTTCCAGCAGGTTTGGGAAGGCAGCAGCATGGTCTCCTGGGTAGTGGGATGTTCTTGCCTTCGGACACAACAGTTCTGCCTTCATGCTGGCCATTGTAACAGCAGCTGTAGGGTATCACATGATCCAGCAAAGCAACACCGAGTCTTCCAGAGAGGGGACTGTGGATGGAACGGTGTGAAAGACTAATTCTTTCTTATTGGTCTGGTTAGTCTCAATTCTGAGCTGCTGCCTCCCCCCTGCCCACATTGCAACCTACCTACCGCAGTGGTAGCAGTCTTTATTATGCCAGTTTTTAGTTGTGCTCATTTAGGTAAATACCCGTACCATGCTAATCCCAAAAGACAGAAAAGCACTTCTGCTTCATAAACTACTTCACAGTACAGATTGCTGTATAGGGGGCAACTAGGAAAACCTTGCCTTTACTTGCGTGGTTATTAAAATACAGGTTCATTTAAAAATGTTGTTTCTTATAATTACTTAAATCCAAAAGTGGAACTTGGAAGTTTCAACAATCTATGTTTTCTATCTTAATTTCCCCCAAAGGTAAATTTTGAGTGGTTGGTAGTCATTAATACAGGTTGTGATTTTATATAGCATGTGATTTTATACAGTTATGATTTTATATGTATATGTATGTGATATAGATATATAGATATATAAAAAATACATATTTTTAGGTAAATCTCTCTCATTTACACTAAATTGAGTGCTGCTTTCTACTAACCTGATTGACCTGGTTCTATACATGTGTCTTAACTATATAGTTTAACATTCTTACTCGGAATCCTGCGTTGTGTCTGACACAAAATTAATTGATTAAGGGAATGTCTGAAGTTCGTAAGTGCATGGGTTGCTTTTAACCATCAGGTTCTTCTTGATCTTATTTGTGGACTGGCAGATGAAAACAAGCTTTACTCCTGCTTCTGCTTCTACTTGTTTTCTTTCCTATTAATCAAGCCAGACTTTGAATTATTTTTTTTCTATCTAAGAGTCTCATTCTTCTAGCAGTTGTGTTAGTCTTTGGGGCTGATTTCAGGTACGTAGCCAGGGCTTTGCATTAGTTCAGTGATTTGACTTTAAAAAGACGTTGGCCACAAATGTATTGATTTAGCAGGGACTGCCATACTAACAGATACATTGTTATTTTTTAAAATAAGTTTAATGAGATGTGCACTTTCTGGAATAATTTTCATTAATGTTGGTTTGGTTTCTGATCCTCTTATGTATTAGTTACATTCTTTTTGTTTCTCATCAGAATTGGGGAGATGCTTTTGTCTAAAGTATTAGAAGAACTTACTAGAATGCTTGGTCTGGTTTTCATGTCAGTACTTCCAAGAGTTGGGGAGAAATCAAAGGACGGGTACGAAACTACTGTAAAGGGCTGGAATATTTGAAGCTGAAAGAGCATAACCTATTCCTTTAACAAAAAGAATGGACTATTGTGTGAAATTCCACAGGATCTCTTACAGACCAGAACAAACAGAGTCATTGGCTTGTTTAAACAAATACAACCTTTGGGGAAGAAGAAAAAAAACCAGTAAAATGGGGGCACTGAAATGGCTTAATAAGAAAGAGGTAGATTCACTAGCTTGTGACTCCAAAACAGGTCTGTCTTTCTGAAGCACATGTGGTTCTGTAGCCTTTGTATTTAGGTCAGCAGTGTCTGCCACAGTCCTTTTTGGCCTACATACAGAAGAACAAGGCTTGCGTCTCACATTTTCTAACTTTACTGATTAATCTTCTATTTTCTACTTTAATGTGAATACCTAAAGGTTCTGAAATACTCGTATTCTGTGGCTCCTGCTGGCAAGTACCTGGAATTACTGTTGAATTTATTGCACTGGCTAATCTTCTAGTTTTCCTTTCAGGATTTTGAACTGTGACACAGGTACTGTGGAAAGAGACAGCAAAATAGGGGGAGGGAAGAGGTTTGGTTATTTTTAAATACAAAAGAGATTAATAATCCATATACTTAAATAGCTGATGCCAGTGGAAATACATTGCTTTTCAGGAATAGTTGTATTTTAGACTTACTGTGCAAATTCTGCCATTTCCTCGCAGATGAACAGTCTGCACCACTGGCCTGTCCCTCCGTCAGCGGGGCGCTCTGCTAAGCAGGGCTGTCTCCCAAAGCCACGTGTTTCTAGCTACGAGTTCAGACAACTGTACTTAAAGGAATAAATGCTGTTGGACCTCTGGACTATAATACTTATCTTCAGCTAACAACTTGACATTTTTATCCTCTATTTAATCCTCTTTTGTCACATAAAGTAGACTTCTGACAGCTTGCTTTGCCCCCTCTTTTACTCTGCAGCCTCGTGCAGAGCAGGGTATGTTCAAAGGGTGATGGTTTGCTTATTCTGGTCTTTTAAAACTTGCTTTCTCTTAAGCGCGTGCCCCTGTCTGGGGAAGGAGATTCCTTAACATCCCGCCCAGGCAGACCGGGTCTGTGCAAGGCCCAGAACACAGGTGAGTATTACTGCTTTGTACTGCAACGTGACAAGCGTGCTGTTGCCAGTCTTAGTCCTGAGCTTCACAGTGTACCTGGATGGTGCAGCCGTGCAGTGTCATTTATAAATCAACACGGTGGATATGTGGTCCATCAGATACTTAATGTACTACTTATTTTCCAAAAAAGCAACTCGCTAAAATGCTATTCCATTTCATTTTAGAGGTATGTTTATCCTCTGTCCCACTTAATGCAAATTTTGGTTAAATTTACTGACGTAATGCAGTACAGCAAAAAGTGATATGATGAAGTACTGGCAGAGCAACCTGGAGCCAACACCAGGTGCAAAGACTCATTCTTTTACCTAATTTCTGATTCCTGTAAAATAGCTTGTATACTTAAAGATAAGGATTTGCAAGTAGTACAAGCAGAAGGAATGTGAGATTTAATATGTTTAGGTATGTATTAAGGGATTCCACCATTAGTACAGCACTATGGTCTGTGTGTGCAGTTACTGTCATTGTAATTCTTGCTGTCACACTAGAACAGATGTTTAGGGGAAGTTTTACAAGTTTGGTAGAGTTTCAATCAACCAAGAAATACGTTCATAGTCTCTGGTCAACTAGAGGATAGCTTTAATGGGAGGGCAGGGGGATGGTGCTTCAGCAGATTAAGGTACATAAAACCTTCAAAGCACTGTGCAGAAGGCTTAATGTTTTAGTTAACGTAGTCTCCTTGCTATTTAAAGTGAGCACAGCTGACTAGATCATAAACAGCTTACAACTGCACCAGAGAGAGAGGATTTAAATCGTCGTTGGAGAATGGTTCCTCATGCTTTCTTGTGCGCCTACTTCTCCAGGGCAGTGGCAGTTCCCAGTTGGTTGTTCTACCAATACAGCTGTTAAAAGGTAAGAAGGTTCAGAACAGCAGCTGTGGTGAATAGCACTGAACAAGAACTGGTTTGCACTGGAAGGTGGACTTGGTTTGGCGTAAATACCAATCTCAGTGTCCCAGGCAGTAATTTGTGTGCTTCCCGTCCTCTGTTTACATGGCATGGGCAGTGTGATTTGGCTTCTGTCCTTCAACAGCCACCACTGTTTACTCAGTTACAGATTTATTCCCCCAAGCCTATGGCAAAAGGAACTTTGGCTGTTGATCATCAGTGAATACAGCAAAATTAGTCACTTTTATTTAAAAGAAATAACATATTACAAATAAGTGTGCAAAACAATTTCTGTGGTTAAATACACATAAAAGCAACATGCAACCTTGACATCAAAATCTGCGTAGAAGTTAGTCCTTAGTATGTTACGTGACACTAAAAGAAACTTGTCAAATTTAGAGAGCTTGCAGCTAAACAATCTTAGAGTGAACTGGCATGTCAGATCTGAAGCATCTGTGAAATTAAGTTTCAGAAGAGCAAGACTTCCCCCCCCCCCCCCCCGGTATTTAGTGCTATGAACGGAGAGCTTGTGTCTATTTCAGTTTCTAGTTTAGTATCTTGTGCCTTAGTTCAGCAGTAAATACTAATTGCCATATAACAATTTGGGGAAAGAGTTTACAAGTCAGTTGGTTTAGTCTAACCTAACTGTCCCTAGGCCAACAGTGTTTAGTATGCAACATCTCAAATTAAAAAAAAAAAAAAAAAGTTTGCAAGTTTAAAGCCATTGCAGAGACCATTATTTCATGCCACCTTGTTCATTTATTGTGCTGGATGTGTAAGCGGCCTGTCCAGTCTTCCAGTTGAAGCACAGCAGTTTCAGAGGCAGTCAGTACAGCTGTCACACCAGTACCGAGGGTGGTTTTTAAACCTGGAATGGCTGTTTTGTTACAGAAGGAATCACCTCTACAAATACAGGAGCTCCAGGTGCCCGAGTGCCCTGGGCGCTTGCTCCACACACCGAGGAGAGGGTAGTTGGGTCAGCCAGTGCCTAAATGTGCCTTCAGCTACTATGTACAGTTTGGCACCTTTGACAGTTAGTGCTGATCACTCAACTTACCCAACATGGGCAGGTGGGCGGGAACAGCCGTCTGTGGCCCCATGACTACCACCGCCCACCCCCCTAGCCCAGGTCAGAGGACAAGCATGGTTCAAGCTACAGTTGTCTGTGGCTACGTGCTTGTCATCTCTTCTCCTCTGTTACTCTAAGATGTGCTTGGGGAGGGGGGAAAGGCAGCACTCCTGCTCCTAGCCAAGCTGGTGGAGTTTTATTTGAGGATGATCCATAGTATTCCCCCCACTCCCAGCCATTCAGAGGCAGTAAAGCAATACCTAAAATCTTCTGTTTTCACATCCCTTTTTCTAAGGCTAGTTGTACATTTGTACAGCCCCCTGCAGATCTTTTTGTGTGGCAGGCACTCGTGTTTAATCTAAAGTCATTTCACAGTTTAGATTAAGAGAAACCCAATAGGCACAAGCTTGTTGAAAGCCACATCTTGAAAACTTGAGTTGATGACAGTAACCCAAAGAGATTTTAATGATGAATACTTGCAGAAATGAGAATAAACATATGTAGTCCACTACTTCAGAGCTTGTTGTGATCATGTTGGGCCAGGCTTCTCAGTGAGGTCTGCTAAACTTCTTGATCAGTATTGGACATTCATATACTGTCCTTCCAAAGATGTGGAATAGCCAAGGCAGTACTTTGACCCATGCATTCCCCTCAACTCAGTCAAAGCTTGTCGTCCGTCATTTCTAGAAACTGAGCATAGACATCCCTTGAGCATTCCCCTTTTTGGTTGAATAAGAACTTGTAGTAGCTGCCATCTGCACATATTGCTGAAACAAAAACAAACATGTTAAGTTCAGCTGTTCCAGAGGCACTCTTCTCTTCCTGCAGCTATAGCTTAAACTGACCTTTCAAGCCAATGGAACATACAGAGGGCTGCTCTGGAGGAACCCGAGGTAAGTCAGCCCTCATGCACTGCACCCAGGATTGCTTCCTTCCACCCCGGCCACTGTTTGATCTTACTCCCTTGCAGTGCTGAGCAGCGAGAGCTCCTGTTATCAGCTGAAGGGAGATGCAGCACCTCAGCTGAGCATTCCCGTGAGCTCAAAGCCAGTGTAGTTCAAACCCTGGTTCTCCAGACAGAACCTGGGGAAGCCTCCAGTACTTACCTATGACAGCATTTGGCTCTGTTCCAAAGGCACAAATGCACGGAGAGCCTGAGGGAACCTGAAACTTGGAAAAACTCCATTTGGAACTGAAGTATTTGGGGAGAAAGCTGGCAGAGGCCAAACTGAAAGAGAGAGGAAAAAAAAGTGTAACAACTCAGTAAGGTGTTGACTAGAGTTGATTTAGAACTGCTGGCGTGTTTGAACAGGTCACACTAACTGCTATTTTTGATTGGCTTTTTTCTTCTACTACGTATCAGGTAACATGTACGATTCCCCTTCTAGGGACGGTGGACCCTACAATTACCTTTCTGGCTTCATGTTTTTAAGTGACTGCAAAAACTGCCAAAACAATGGATTTTAGGAGAGATTGCTTTATATGGAGTGTCCACAAAGTATGTTCATGCTAAGAGATAGCCACTAAAAACCACCCTAACCTTCTGCTGGAATTCTACGGCTCCACAAAGGACAGCAGAAATGTGGCAGTTGCTATATAGTCCTAAATCTGCAGCTTCTCTCAAGCACAGCAGATGTATCTTACCACCTCCAGGAGTGCAGGTATTGGCTACTGCTTAAACTCTATTTGAAGGGGCAAGCCCCCCACCCCCCCCCCCCCCCCCCCCCCCCCCCCCCCCCCCCGCAAAGGCTTCAGAATGGCTCAAACCCTACCTTGACTGCTTATTTCTTTTAGGGTCTTCTGCAGCAAAAATATGTACTGTGCCATGGTCGCTGGATACGCAGATTAGGGAAGCATCCTGATTGAAGTTGATACTGTAGAGAATACAGACAGTTGCAGTATCCCTACTGGAACATACCCACAGCTTCTGGTGTACATGACGCTGCTGCTGCAGTTGCCTAGAGCAGCTGTCACCCTGGCAGACAAGGTGTTAACAGCTCCTCTCCTGAAATTGCTGGGACTCCTACGATTCAGCACTGCTTTGCTGACAGGATGAACAGCCCCTGCAGGGGTGAGTGCAGGTGCTTGGAACAGAGGACCTGGTCTGTCAGACCAGCCATGCAGCAGACTGCCCTGACACGACACAAGGGGGGGTGGGCCATTCTGCCACTTCTGCTGGAAGAAAATGCATGATCTCTGCTCTGAGGAGTAGGCAGGTATTGGAGAAAACGTGCAACACTCCTACCCCAGAGTGGTGCTCAGTAAAAGAATGGAAGTTTCCCCACTCCTGGGAGAATGCTTCCAGCAGAGGATTAGTCAAACTTCTGCCTTGGGCTCTCACACGCAGAGCAGCGCTGTGTTGTAATAAACCTCCACTCGCCCCCAGGTGCTCGTCCTAGTCCCTCTGGGAAGTGTTAGGCTGCATTCCCCTTATTTCAGTGGGAAGTCAAAGTATCTTCCCAACTACTGTTTATTCTATGCAGAGAAGTGGGCCTATCAATATGTACGTCTTTGTCCCAACCTCTATAGCCTGTGCCAGGCTTCACACAGCTGCCAGCTACTGCTCTCTCCTCACCAGCACCGAGCAGAGAGGAAGACGCACAGGCCCAGTGCAGCCCTGGCACTTGAGCTGCCAGGAGAGTCCTGCCTTGTACCCGTGGCAGCGTAACTTTCCTTTGCTTTTTGAAGATGACTCAGGTGCCGTTTACTGGGGTGCCTCAGCACAACACTACCCACAAGACGACAAAAGCAGAAGCAATTAAACATACCAGTATATATTGGCTGCCTGTGATCCTCTTCGTAGCTCCTGGATTAAATGCCCTGATGAAGTATCAAATATTCTTATGAGGGTCCCCTTGAAAAGAAATCAAGCATTATATTAGGAAAGACAGAAGACTCTTTACAGCTGTGAACGCATCCTAAAATTCTATCTGACCAGCATGCCCCTACATACATCATTGGGTTTTTCATTGTGGTGGATTTGAGAGAACCTCTCAATGCTAATTTTTGGGTAGAATACTGATTCCCCCCCTCCGCCATCCCCACAGTGTTAGAATGCTTTGGTACACAATCCTGTTACTTAGCTATGCAACTAAGTAAGTTTCTTCCAGGTTATATTCTAAAGCACTAGTGCAGCCCTGGCATTAGTTTGCAAACATGAGAGTAGACTTGTGTACAGCCTTTTGTGCGCAGGTTCTGTGAATCATTTGTTTCTTGCTCCACATAGTCCACACCCTGTTTTGATTGGTACTGTGCAATTTTTTTCCCCATAAGTATGATCGGGCTGTGGCTGGTCTTGCCTTACAGTTAGTTCAGTTGAAGTAATTTAGAAGAATTGGTTCCCTATCACATGCTCCTTATCTGTATTGATCCAAATCTAAGAGACCCCCATAGGTGAGTCAGGTTACAGACAGAATACTGCATTGAAAAACTGTACTTAATTTCAAGTAAACTAAGCTTGACACCAGAGATGCAAAACAAGTCAGTGTATCCTAAATAAAGTCATCAACAATTCAGTAGTGCTTTCGTCTGATGAATTATGGGGTATACATTGTCACCTACAACTTGTATTATACACCTGGTTAACAAATGCATCTCTTCAGTCACACACCAGTAAATAACAGAACCCAGCAGAGGAAGATTCAGGTGAATGTCAGCTTAGTTTTGATTTAAGACACAAGCTTGAGATGTTTGCTTACAGTATGCTCAGTATGGCAGTTTGGCCATACTCCTATTTCAGTTTGAAAGTCCTGTTTGAACTTTTTCCTCTATGCAAAAAAAAAAAAGTCTTCATACAAATCCAGCAGATTGTTATTCTGTTTAGCAATGGAGTTGGCAGTTTTAAGAGCTGTGTTTAGAAGACGTACAGTAATTAAGCTTAGGTAAGAGACTATGGCTGCATTTTCTCTTTTTTTTTTTTTTTTTAAGCTTTTTGAGCTATATAGGCTGTGCAGTAGAAACTACTCTAAATAGAGACTTGTTGGATTAATTTTGTGTGTCCGTTTTAGTTGAGTGGAAGAAGGTAGCGAGTACTCAACTTGCCTCAGGTAGATGGGTACGTCTACCTTACATTCCTTTGGACACTTTGGAAGCAATCATAGTGTTGGACTTCACTGACGTTCCCATGGAGAGAGCAGGTCTATGACTTCTTTGCATTCTTTCTACATCTCTCTGCACCAGCCCAGCCCAAAGGTATTTGTACTCTGCAGTAACTTCAGGTTTTTGTCAGTCTATTGTGTTCTTTAGCCCTATGTAACATATGACCACACACAATTTGATAAATATTCCAAGAACCATTTTAACATTTACACTCTATGAAAACATCTGCAATGTGCGCGTGAGAAAAGCAGAGGCAGCACGCTTCCCTCCTGGTCTGTTACAGGAGTTAAGCCAGAGCAGAACTACGTTCTCCAGTGTGACAGACCTATTTGCAACTATTTCTTTAGCCAGTGGTTTTGAAGTGAATTTAAACAGAAAATAATAAAAGTGAAAGAATGCAAATAAGCTCTCCCCCCACCCCTTCATTTTTTAAATTAGTAGCAGTTATTGAAGAACACATGAAATGTGAACTGCTTGGGCCAGATCTCATTCAAATGTCACTGAAGTCACTGCTACAGTCAGCTAAAACGTAAACGCTACCTCAGGCACAGCATTTGGATTCCTGTTTGGGTATCCTAAAGGAGCAGTAAAGATAAAAGAAAGACTGAGAGTGCATATTTCAATGACAAATTTTCCAGCTAGTTATTTCTATGTCTTTCCTACGAAAGGATGCAACTTCCTATTTTAGAAGGAGTTACTACACTAGAATGCACAGTAAATCAGAGATAGGAGGAGATTATTCTTACTTTTTCTGATGCTGTTGCAATTCTTGTTCCCTGCAGGTTTAAAGCTATACAGCTCAAGACTCCTTCGTGAGCTGGTATGTCTACAGGAGGCTTTTCTGTATTAGCGAGATCCACTATCTGCACGTGCCCAGTATGTGTTCCAGGAAATGCAAGAAGAGAATTATTACTATTTGGACAAAGGACACAGAGACCTAAAAGACAAAAAAAAGGAGAGAGAGAATAACCATGTAGTTTCCATAGCCTAATAACATTTTCAAACATAAGTTTCTAAAATATTGGTAATTTCAGAATAAACAAACATACATGTAGTAAATCAGAATTTCATTTTAATGGCTATTGCCGTATCCCAAAACATGATCCGTCCATAAGTGCAGAGCATAGAGAAGTAGGGGAGTAGCATTATTTTAACTTGCTCTCATCACTTTATTTCAAAGTAATCTAGTTGTGGTTATCCAAAATCTGGATGTTTTCGGAGATCAGCTCCATCAGTCTGTTACAGCAAAGCTATTTAAAAAAAAATAAAAAAGTCTCCTTAGCAGCTCGAAAAGTGTAAGAGTTTATAATAGGTGATATTTTAGTTTCTCCTCTGTCAGTAAAAACAATTAGTATTAATGTTTGAACTTGGTTCTTATGCCACTTGTGCTTTTTTTCTTCATAAATTTTTTACAGACCATTTAAGGTAAAACACATCTCTGCCAGGTGTTCTGCTGATACCAAGTAAATTCCTGCAAACTCAGCCCACAGCTAGCCAAGCAGTGGGTGAGTATTACAAGAAACAACATCTACTGCATCTTCCACCTTACACCCACCAGCCTGGAAGTCAGTCAGCAGGCCCAATCTGCTCCTAGGCTGTGCTGTCCCTGAGTGCAGCCAGCAATTCCCTGTTCACTACTAGCAGGCTTGACAACCTCTGAAGATGGGGACTCCAAGCCTAAGTAACCCCCTGGTGGAGAAAACATCTTCCTGACAACGAAGCTGATCCTCCCACCACCCCTTGTTCTACTGTCTGGCACTATCAAGAAGAGTTTGCATCCATCATTTCTGTAACTGTCCTTCAGGTAGCTGTAAGCCACCAGTGGCAGACAGCCCTTCACAGTCTCCTTTTGGCATGAGTAAAGAGGCCCAACTCCTCAATCCCCCGCCCCGTGCAGGCCGTGCACTTTGGGACCCTGACCATCTTCCTCGCAGGGTGCAGTTGTGCCTGGAGGCAGATAGTCACACAGTTACCATTACATCCCTCCAGTCTTACACCTTCCCTTACACACCTAGTCTTAGGTGTGCAGCTGATGGGGGAGCATGCTCCTCTCTTTACCCTCGGGGCTCTCCTTCCAGACAGTACCTCCCTTTTGCAATAATACCTACTACAACAAAATGTTTCCTTAGGTCAAACACAAGCCCCATCTCCCCTATGCCCACCTGGAGCCTAGAGCTGGCATCACCACACTACACAATACTTAGCCTGTGGCACTACTGCTCAGCTTGGTTCAGGATACCTTCTGCTCGCTCTAACAAAAGACAAAGCCATACCTTGCTATTTAAAAAGAACAACATCAGTTCGCTAATTAGGCTCTTTTGACACCGTTGGGAATGGTTCACTAGACAGCTTAGCTCTATTACAAGAGAGAAATGCTGCACTTTGAACAGCGTTTGTGTTTATAATTAAGCTTTCAGCACAAAATACATCAAGTTCACAGGTTCTTTACAGAAGAAATCATATAGCTCTTAGAGAAATCAAATCTATAACATGAATACATGAAAAAGCTGTTCTGTGCCAAGTATTAATAAATTTTAATAACTATTTTATAAACACAAAAGCATCTCCAAAAGGCTTGACTATAGTGCAATAAGTAAACTGGTTAATGACTTACTAAGTAACTGATTCAGGCAGCTAAAGATAAATAGCACATCAAGAACAGAATAAACTTGTTTCCATTCCCCAAGCCATGTATACAACTAACCTTTAGGGTTGTAGCAGGTTTCAAAGACGTGCAACTGGTGGGGATTGTGTGTGAATGTGAAAACTTTAATCATCGAGTCCAAGACTACCACAATTCTGAAACAGACAAGAAGTTCCTATGACTTGGGGTGGGTAGAACAGGGAGACAGATATTAATTCAAATCTGCAAAGGTTTTCAACTGATTTAATGGCTATATTCTTACCCCCACCTCCAACAGGCAGTCTTGCAAAAAAACATGCAACGAGCCTGTAAAGCGCTTTTATCCCAAGCTGTGACAGCAGAACCCCTCCGCCCACACATAACACAGACTCCAGCTGTTAATACACGCTCTTGCTCTAGAGATCTGCCTGAATTCCCTTCACACTCCTCCATACCTAGAAAAACAGTCAGCAGTAGCCACATGAGAACATTTCCCTGCATGGGAGGGCCAGAAAGTCTTAGAGGCTTTTCACCAAGGTTTCAGATACCAGTATACTTGAGCTGTGATCTGTTAACACCTAGTGCTTGCCCCCAGAAGCCTGTTTCACTTTTAATTGCTGGGGTTAAAGCAGCATCTTTTTCTTTCTATGAACAGCTGCAAATGAATAAGAACAGCGTACAAAGCCAAGCTGCGTGTTTGGAACATGTTTGTTGTACCTACCTATCTCTTCGCAGCTTAACTGCTTTGACTTCTGTAGAAAACTCTATCTCAATGACAGTCTTCTTCTTCAGGTCATCCCAGATCATTACTGGAACAGTGCAGAGGTTGCATTAGAGCATCAAGGCATATCTGAAGATGCACATCATCTCCCTTATAACAACTCCTAGTTTCTGAGAAGGCTAATCAAGAGGTGCGTCCAATACCTAAGCACTTACAGACTGGCATCCTGCTCACCAGAAGGTATTTAGCTGCTACATATCAACCCAGTCTTTCATGCTATGACTCGTGCAGGTAGGAGCTGGTAAACTCTAACAACCAAAAGCTGACAATAAAACCACATTTTTCTAAAGACAGTCAGCTTTTTTGTTTTGCTCTGAGGGTTATCAAAGAAATAAGGCAGCAGAGTCAAAAAAAGTAGCATATTTTCCCACAAAGCTTGCCAGCCAGGGACCTTTTCCCCCTCAGGTTGCTGAGCCATAGAATCTCTTTGCAAAGTTAACTGTGTGAAGTACAGACTTTGTCACCAGGTCTCAGAGACTGGTCACTGCAGGTAACTGCCTGTTAACACTGCAACAGCGGTGATGCAACATAATTCACCACAGTTCCTTAACACCTGCTGCAACATCCCCTCCATCCAGCCTTCAGAATAGCAGACCCCAGCTCAAGGCGTTTGGTTTGGGAGTTCTTTGGGCGGTTTCACACATGACAAGATCTATTCCTTGAGACTCACCTTTGTTAGGTGGATACTTTGGCTTTTTTCCTCCACCTACTAGTGCTAAATAGTTGCAACGAAACAGCATTTCGACATGGCCAACACCGCCTTCTAGAAATTCTGAAAGACAAATGTATTTTATTTAAAATGTCAGAACCTGTTAAAATGCCATCTGATTTCTTACCACTGTTACAAGAAAAGCTTGCATTATCTAGCACTTCTCTCAGGCACCTGAGAGGAATAGTATTTTCCTACCCTGGCTGACCTTAAAAAACAGAGAATCCTCTAAGAGTGGGGGTGATAAGACAAGAAATCCTGACTAAAAGAATGAGGGGGTTTTGTTTTGGGGTTTTTTTTGTGTGTGTGAGTGCTTGTTTAAAATTAGGGTTCTCAGCAAAGTTGCTTTATTTTTCATAGCAATGAAGATCACCACTGTTGTCATGCAGTTGGGACAGGCCTCATTTTCATTTATAGAAAAAACACAGCAAGGTTTTAAACACACTGCATGAGAGGAGACCAAGCAATATCACCATGGCAGCTTGACCATTTCTATTATACAGTGGGTTTGTAAATATGTTTAGAAAGACTGTCCAGTTAGCTCAAATTCATTCCCCTCACACACACACATTGCAAATCTGGTGTTGCTCTATTATGCTAATGCCACGCATTTAGAAAAATACCAAAACTATTCATTAGTCATGAGCCTTTTTATTTGCAAGGGGATTTGTCTTTAGAGACTTGGTGAATTTGAGGAAAGAAGGCAAAATGCACACCTATGTAACTGAACTAGAAACTCCAATGCTTGTTCTCTGGAGCATACCCATAGCTGCTAGAACAGGTGAGAAGTATGGTCCAGCTGCAGCAGGCCTCCACTCGATGCAGGAAAACAGTGAAAGCAAAACAGATCAGCTGGTGCAGACAGCTTCTCATTTATAGTGCAAGGAAAAAGGTTTTTTTCTTTTTAAGAATCTCAGCTGCAGAGGAAGTAGAATAAGATGCCATGCTTATGGTGCAAGTGGAGGAACAAAATACCAACCAGGGGATTTTATAATAAAAGAATTTTTCTATTTGATGATATTTGAGCAGAGGCTTGGCTTTGTTTACATAGCTTAGAGGGCTGCTTGGCATTCCACTGGGGAGAGAGAACTGAACTGTCAGGAGGAGAGGCCATGACTATGGCCTTCAAGGTAGATGAGCAGATTTAAAAACAAACTTCTGCTTTAAAAGACTGTCCAAAAACTCCACACACTGGCAGGCTGCAGCAGGAAAGGTGGATGAAACTAGTAAACCATTTCAAAGCTAGAGGAAAAGTTGAAATTTCACAAGGACTCGAGAGAGACCTACTGTCAGAAATAGGGATGGGAGAAAACAGCAAAAATGTCTGAGGAGCTGGGAGGAAGCACTACAATGGAAAGATGCAGACATATGCATGAAGGATAGGACAAGTGAGATTCAGTTAGACATTAAGAAGTGCTGCAGTACATCTGGATGAGGAATCTATGTTGGGACTTGACTACACAATGCTGAAAAGATACTCGCACTGGACCAGTAAAGCCTTGGATTTCATACAAGTCCTTGTGGTTTCTGCAACAACGCTTTTGACTGCTGTACTTCCTTCCTAAAAATAGTTGTATTTGGACACTACCCTCTTCTGCACCTGATCCTCCTCTTAACTCCATTAAAGCGTTTAAAATGTGACAGCACATTTTGTTATGAAGAGGTATTATCACCGCGACAAAAAGTCTTAAAATATTTACGAATTATAACCCGAAACAATTTAAGAATGCGCAATGTGTTCTGAATCTATGTTCGAACAGACACTTTAAGTTCTGACAGGCGATGCTTGGGTGGGGAACTTCATGGAACTCCTGGATATAAGAAAGACAAGCCAGGGTGTAACAGTTAAGACTTGGTTACAGAAATCAATCAAGTAGTCCCAGTTGGAGCTTGTCTGTCTCGGGTAGGTTTGAATAGGTAGGTTTAAATATACATGAAAGATGACCAAGATTTCTCTGTGTACCTATGCAGCCAGTACAGTCTGACCTCTCAGAATCCACACGGGAAAGGCAATGTGACTCTTAAGAAACATTTCACTATAGGAGCCCTGGAAGTATGTCCTGAGCTATTGGCGGGGAAAGTTTTGACAAGGAACTCAACAGGACTTCAACCTGAATTCTCATCCTTTTAGCACACTATCAATCACAGATGATAGTCCCAAGACATGTTGCTTATGGAAGAATTTAGTCTTAAGAACAGAAAACAGTTTGTCAGCTTTGGCCACATGAACAGTGACTGAACTCTTACAGCACTAGAAAATGAAAGCATGCCTGTTTCATAGGAATTGCTATTTTAAATACATTTTTCCTCTTATTAAATCCTTTCTATCACCACAGGCTGGAAGTGCTGGGAAACCTGTTAGCATGGCAGCTTTCTTCCTATATTTAGGGTTAGAATCACATGGCCAGGCTTCATTTTCCCTTATTTTGACTCAGTTATGTTTGTTTTCTGATAAAAAGCCCCACTACCTGTTAATATAGTTCGTCTAGTAATTTCTGTTAAGACATGATACTAGGTTTACTGCCTTAAGATCTTCCCAAACTTTTTAAGCATACAGAGAATATAAAATTTAAAGTATTAGAGGTCTGAGCTCACAGTGCTCTTGCAAGCTATACTCTAAGCAAGTACGAGAAATGTTACGTCCAGTAAAAAGGCAGTAGTTTTATTGCTGTACTAGATCGTCCAGATTACTGCACAAGAACAGAACAACTTCTCTTGTTGGTACGTAATAATGCTGCAGCAAGCAACTCTTCTCCCACTTGTGAATAACCAGGCAACTTGCCTCCTGTTCAGGACTACAAACATTAGCAACAGGTAACACAATTCAGCCTCTGCAAGAAGGTGAGACACATTCATCATCAGCCAGCTTTATGCAAATGAACAGCATATAAACATCTGACCAGGCAGTGGCAAAAGTGAGAGTCCCTTAGGGACCACCATGGACTTCCTTTCTTGAGGCTTTATTCAAAGCCTTCTAGTGATGGAACAGTGAAAGCTAAGCAAGAATCTTACAGAAAAAAACGAGGAGGCTGAGCTTCCAACACAGAACTAGCATGGTATAATAAGTAAGCATTTTACCTTGTTTCTCTTTTTCTTTGAGTGGATCTGCATTATAAACTCGGAATCCATTTTCCATTCCACATGCAAAGCATCCTGTAGTAAAAAGCACATATATATACACATATACAGTAATTGCGAGATACACTCAAGAACTAAGCAAGAGCCAGAGAGTTAAGAGAGCGTTACTCGGTAACTGCATTGTTAAATTCAAGCTGAAGACCACTTGCAGGCTTCCTTAGTGTTTGCAAGTGAAAACCATTTACAAGAGTTGTCCTCTGTGCTGGCCTCTGTTGAAAGCGGAAAGTTCTCAGTATTCTTTTTAGACAGGTAAGAAAACAATGGAAGGAAAGGAGAGCAATTCCCAACCCATCTGTATCCTATGCCATGCACTAGAGAGGGAAGGAAACCTGCATTTTAACTTTTATGGCCCAACAGCCATTATTAAGCAAAACCCCTCCTTTCTTATTAGATCCAGATTTACACCGTGATTACGACTATATGAAGTATGATCAATTGTTCATGTTTCCACAGAAGAGACCTTCTCAAACATAGTTTTTAAGAATGCTCTAATGAGAGCCTACCGAGTCAGATGCCAATAATTACATGCAAATAGCTTAAGTCTAAACCAGGGAATAATTAGAAGCCAGATTAAAATACTCTGGAAAATTATTTTAGTTACATTTACATACAGAATTATGCATGTGCCTTTTTAGTGGAACCCATCCAACTGCCAGTGTCCTGTCCTGCTGTTTTACTGACTAATGGGTGAATGTAGTTACTAATATAAAGAAATGCCAGTGTGCAGTTCAAAGCAGCTACCATCGCTAGAGGCAGGCTGATGGAAGATTAGTTGCTACACAATTTATATGCACTACATCAAAAATCCCGTTAAGATATTCAACGTACTGGAACAGAGGTATTCAAATTAGTCTGGTTTTATTCTTACGCACCGCAATGACTGCAAAGATTTAAACCCTCCAAGTGAAAATTGAGGAGCTATGTCTAAATGCATCCCTTCCCCACACTCAAGACCCCAAAATCACAGGTGCACGGGGGAAGGAGGGAAGGAAGTCTTCACTCTCAACATAAGGTATCCAAACGATTTGCTCATAGCCAGGTGACCCATGATTTCCTACACACAAGACTGGACGGTCTGCTGTGGCGTGATGGCTCAGAAGCTGGCAAAAGGGCTCAGACTGCGAGAGACTGTTTCAGGTATTCCTGGTGCCAAAGGTTCACAAACAGCCAGCAATGGTCCTCACAACACAGGCAACTAACTTTGTGGTTTGCGTACTATTAGCTTAATATAAGGTCAATTTAAAAAACTGCATGTTCATTGAAGAGCAAGTGAGCAACACTCAGTACGTGTCTTCCACTGCTCGTATCTTGATGCAGGTTAAGATGTCAGAAGAAACAATACAACTGGTGACATCTTGTTGAGTTTTTTTTGTTATAAACATAGAAAAAAATCAATGTTCTCACATAACAATAAGAAAATGTATAATAAACTCAATCTTAACAACAGTATTAGTTTAAAAACTCCACAATTTGGGAAAAATAATACAGCCAATTTGAGATTCCTTTTTAATACTTCAAGAGTTTCATTCCAAGTAGGACCACTTTTAAAAAAAAAACAAAACAAAAACAAACAAAAAAACCCCACCAAAAACCCACAACAACAAAAACCCAACCAACCAAACACAGCCCTCCCCCCCAGTCAACCAAAACCCAACAGCAACCAAAAAAGGCATTACACACATCCTCTGCTTTACAGACCAGTATCTTACGAGGTGTGGGGATGTATGTTTGGCAGCATCCTTTAGGGTTCCTATTCACTTAACTCACACATACAAAGGAAAAATTACTGCAAGATCCACCTCTGCACCCTTCAATGTAGAAAGAAAACAAATTAACCCTCTTACTTTACATATAGTTCCTAACAGCAGAGTCACAGACCCAATATACGAGACTGTTCTAACAGGTTAGCTAAATAGTGAAGAAAACAAAACACACAAAAGCCCTACTCCGCCAACCCAGAAGACTCACAGGCACAATTTCAGCCTGTCCAAGATTCTGTAATAAATTAAGCACAAAAAATTCTTGTTTACATATGTAAACATACCTAGAGAGTGGTTAACAAGTATATAATAATTATAGAAAGATTAGTAAAGATATTGAAATTGATACTTTTAAATTAACTATATTCAATTTACTTCCTCCCTTCTCAGTGCATCATTCTTTACTTTCCTCTGTCAGTCAAATACATAAGAGTGTGCTGCGTTGAATTCACAACACTAATAAGCTGCCACCTTGCGCAGTATACTTTACTGGGATAACTGGAAAGCAAATTACAATGGCAACATTTCTCTCTACATAAAACAATACTGTACAGGATGAGAACTAATCTGTTTCTGGTAGCTGTAGTGTGTATCCATATAATTATTTTTCCAGCAGCAGTTTTACAACATAATTTTGTATTTCCAGGGGAGACGAAGGAGAGGGATACTGAAACTGTTCTATAGTAAAAGAGCACCATAAAGTTTTACTTGTGTTAACACCAACAGCTTTTAACAAACCCAAACAGAACATTCTTAATGCCTTAAAATGCAGACATTACATTTCATGTAGCACCACTACAGCTTTTCTGCAGGACTAACCTCGTGACTAAGATGTGGGCAGCTTTTAATGTCTTGGGAATATCTACATTTTTAAACTGGAGACAATACACCAGAACTGATGGAATGTTAGTAATGGTGATATTCCTCACACAGTCGGTCATTACTGACAGAGATACGAAGTTCTCAGTCATGGCAACCCCTGAGCCAAACAAGAAAAAAGCAGCCATACAGGAAGATTACTGCTACTCATTCAATTCTGGGTTACAGGATCAGCTTTGGAGCCCAGTGTTTCCCATCCAACTGATCCCAGCGTTTACCAGTGGGATCACAAATTCAACAGCTACAGCTACAGCCTGTAAGCTCTTATGTATGAGAGAGCTGGAGAGGGGCTGCCAAAAGAGGGAATTGCTGCAATAATAGGTATGCTTCCTTCCACAGGAAGTTCACATCTCATTTTAGGGGACAGACATGCTGTCAAAGAGCCACTGACAGAAGACACCTCAGATACTTTAAAAAAAATAAAAATAAAAAAAGATTAATTATTACAGAATTATTACCCTAACCTGCAGTTGTGCTTGTTCCTACAGTAAAAGTACTATTTGCCAACAGTCCCCGTGAGGCCACAGTGAGTTTTGTTTGTTTTTCTAAAACCAAAGAAAAAGGAAGGGTTAAATTTATGACTGCCTAGAAGATATCACAAGCTGAAAGGGGCATGCTGACAAAAAGGAATCTGCGGGCTTTAGGGCCTAAGATCCAGAAATTGAAACAGTGAAGTCTAGGGAAGCGACTACGTCAGGCACAGTTCCTAGCACGTTAGTTTTCCTTGCCACAGCAAATTTTTTCTAAAGCCATAAGAGAGAGTACAGAATCCTACTAACATTCATGGGGTCCTATAGCTAAGCATTTCAGTCCACTAACAGAGATCAAATGAATAAGCCAAGTGTTTCAACACCAAAACAAGTTTTCAAACTAGCTTTAGACTACAACAGTGACAAAAAAGAAACTTGTAAGCAATTTACCCGTATACTTTCTGGTATGGTAATTTATTGTGATGTTTTGTCAATTCATTTCTGTAAAGCACTTTAGTGTCCTTCTGAAAGCATTAGAAAAGTCCCTGAAATCAGGAGTACACCAGCTTGAAATTAAGAACCTGAAGTCAGAGTATTCTGTTTTAAAACAACTGAAAACACCCTACAATATGGGCCTTCCATTTTGGGAAGGGTTACACTGTTTCTTTATTTTTGAGTTTAAAAACAGAAAGTGGCAAAGGCACCCAATATAAAAATACAGTATCACTCAAAACAGTAAGGGAAGCACATTTCAGAAAAAACTGCAGATGCTAGCTTTATCACTTGTCAGTCACGGAAGTTAAGACTTGGAGAAGCTTATTAGATCATTTCTCCCATCTCCCCATCACTACGGGATTGGCTAGTCTTAAATTACTAAGAAATTAGGTTATTGTGACAATATATGCAGACACCTACACTACTAGGCTTCAGCACTCAAGTGACTCATATTTCTATTTTTGGTAGAAGGAACAAGGAAGAAGTGAAGTTTTCCTCTTATATGCTCTTCTTTGAGCTGCCAAAAAATTACCTATCCTTTAACACTTTAAAAAGGTCCTAAACTAGTAAAAAGTTAGCATGCTACCTACAGTTCAAAAGTCATCACTCATAAGCAGAAAAGGCTCCGGGAGCCTGCAAATGAAAGCCAAATACACATTTTTTTCTTCAAGTTTATTGTTGTTATTCAATTGGATGGCCAGGCTAGGTAGGATGGGACTTGAATACTGTCAGCTCACAGATTCCCCAGCCAAATTCCTTAACATGCTTTGGATGTGACATTATTCAGGAAGGTGTTTATTCTGCATTTACTGCTACAGAATTTAAGGAAGCCTTTGCAACAAAGAACAAGTTTTACACACTAAAATGATGTTCTAAAACATTTTGCAGTAAAAGAGAAACTTATCTTCTTACACAGTTCTCTTTAAAACCCCGCCCCATCACAGGCCAAGCATCACATATTACCGTTTCATTACACACCCCTGCAGACCTAGAATGAAGCTCATTCTCGCAAATCAATTTTTCCATCTCTGTTGCAAACATAAGATGAAAACAAGTGCATAGTTGCTGAAAAACAGACTATTGTATTGTTTTCAAGTCAACAATACAGCATGAAGAGAGCTACCAAGAAGCTCACTCTGTTAACAGCTTGATACACTACAGACAAAATGTCATCAGAGATGTCAGACTAAAATCAATAGAATAATTTGTGTTTACCCACAACTTCAACAGCATCAGCAACAGGTATACGAACTACAGTCTACAATGACAGAAGCTGCAAGACTGTCTTGGGCAAGAGTATTATTCGTTAAGACAAAAGGATGTTACAAAATTATGACCTTCTATTCCTCATTTGACAAAAATGACACTTACTCATAAGACTGGTGCTATTTTTATATTGCAAAAGCAAGATGAGGCATATGCACCCCCTTTCTAGAAAAGGGCCTTCCCATTTCTAACAAAGTAAAAAAATAAACCAAGCACACAGTGAAGCTCTTCAGTGGTCCATGTATCTTGTCTACCAGTATGATCAGTAGTCTTAACCATAATTTTTAAAAAACAAATCAGGCAAAAAAAAAAGAAAGTAGTTATACCACTAATTTTAAATGCAAGGTACCTACGTTGAGAAAGTGACATTTTGTGAGCTACCTTTTCAGCAACGCCGTTTCAAAAGAACATCCCTTTGAGCACATGTTTTAAGGCAGACTTATACAACTACGCAAGGGAAGCTGGCCAATTTTAAGCAGCCCAACTTACAGCAAGCACCAAACCGCCATCTGAGAGGCAGGTGCATTCGAAGATGCACATTAAGCACGGCTGTTCCTTCTCCCAGCTCTCCCCGAAGTGAGCACACACACACGCACGCAGTACCGCACCGGCACTAAACCGACAGGAGAACGCCCCGGCCGAACCTCCGCGATCGCAGCCTTCCCGCCTTCCTGAAGCGGGGGCTGCGCCCACCACAGCAACTACACGGACCAGACCCCGGCCATCCTGTCACGGCGGCGGCGGCCGACAAGGAGACACACACAGGCACAGCGAGGGGCGCCGCGGCCCGCCCGCCGAGGGACGGGAGGGATCCCAGGCCCAGGGCAGCCCGCCCTCGCCCAGCCAGCCCAGGCCGCCCGCGCCGGGTCCCGGTTTCTCGCCGCTGCCGGGAGCCGCGGCAGGCCCAGACCGCCGGCTCCGGGCGGTTACCTCCGCCGGGCTCCCAACCGCGAACCGCCACCCCTCCCCGCCGGCACGAACCGGCCGCCCGCGGCCGGGCCCGGGGGAGAAGCCTCCGCGTC